AATTATTTTTTGTTCTATTAATCTTATTTGAAATTTCAAAATTTGAGAAGAAACCAGCATTTGGTAGTGTAAGGATGTGTTTGTGTATATTGACTCTTATATTTGCACCAACTTAAAATTGTTTTACCTTAAAATAAAATGTAATTATAATTTAAGAGAAAAAACTAATAAGACATAATTTTGTTGGAAAATTTTTAAAATCATGTAAGTTTATTTATATCCCTTATCATAAAATTAATTAAAAAACAAAAGGTTTTTTAACAATATAAAATTTTAGAGTAAAATGATGTTTTATTTTTTATTTATGTATCATAGAAATGCCTCAATATATAAAAAAGTTAGGACTTTAGTTGATTTTACTCAATTTTCATTTTTAATTGATAAAAATAAAAATTGTATTAAATATATTTTGTTAATTGTTTTTAACTTAATAAAATATATTGAAAATATGGATTGAACAAAAAAGTTCAACCATATGAGAAAAAAGTTTGAGTGAAAAATATAGCAATATATTTAATTTTCTATGTAATAAAGATTTATAGATTATTTGAGATAAATTTGAATATCAAGAAATTAAACTAAAGTCATTACTAGAAAAAAAAATTAAGATGGATTGATGGTTTATTATTGGAAGATCAATATGCAAAAAGACTATTTCAATTTTTATGCAAAGATTTGATATAAGCACAAAAATAAAATATTGAATATTAAAAAAAAGAGAGGGAATTTTAAGTACACTTTAGCCCTCAGCTTCTTATTTGCCTTTCTTACCTTTTCACTTCTTCATTGTCTCTTCACTTTCAATCCAAAATAACCTTAAATTTATCAAATTAACCCGAAGATTATATTTTTTTTAAATTTTTTATTGATTAAAAGTAAAATTTTTAATTTTTTTTTATTGATTTGGTTTAAATTCAGTTAAAATATATGTAAATATAGGTTAAAGTTTGCGATAAAATTTTGTTAAATTCAAGCTTTTTGAAAATAAATTTTTAATAACCTTAAAAAGCTTTTTGGACTTAAAAATACATTTTCAAAAATTTTAAAGATTTTTTAAAAATAAAATTCTGAGAAATTCAAATTCAACTGTTTGTTTTTTGTATAAGGAGGAGGATTGATTCTATTCAAACTCGAGAGATTAAATGTTTTTAATAAGAAAAAAATTAGACTTTTTGTGTTATATTATTTTTTATTTTTTATTAAAAAAAATCTGGTAAATATATTTCGTAAGTTTATAATTTTTTTTTTATAAAGAAGACTCGTACACGATGACGAGGTATTCTTATTCCAGATAGAGGTATTAAAATTGATCTCAATCCAAATCAGAGCTTTTAGAAAAAACAAGTGAAGGAGGGCCCTTCTCTCCCGGTCCGAGTCGGAGGCAAAGCATTTCACTTCTCACTAAATTATTAAAAAAAACTTTCATAATTATTTTTAAATCTATTAATTTATTGGATTCCTATATAATGGTGAATCTAAAATCCATCTTCCTATATTTTCTTAAATGCACATGTATATTAGATTTTAATTAATTTGTATATAAAATTTTTTTATTTAAAATTATTAAAATTTGATTATAAAAAATTTTAATATTTTCCATCATCTTATATGACTATCAACTAAAAAATGTATTTTATTTTTTTAATTTATATAACAAATCAAATTTAATTCTATTTTTTACATTCAAATATGGGGGATTCGTAATTTTGATAATCATGTCCATTATTTTACGGTTGAGTGGTCAAATTTGGGCTCATTCATAAGCTCCAGCATCGAAGGGAATCTTTTGCAAGAAGACAACTGGATTTACGAGTTGTCAAGTCAAGACGCAAAACTCGATGCTCTTGAATCTCTACAATAATTGTACTATTTTACTGTTTGCTTTCCACACGTAAAACACATGTCTGAAACTTTCACGTGGTAAGCTTTTCTTAGACTAAAAAAAGCGTTTGACGGAGTGGATGGAAGTTGCTCAGCAGCCCCCCGAATTTAACACATGTTTTGTCGTTTTCAAAATTTTATTTTTGAAAATAGAACATAATTTTAAAATTATATTATATTTTGGAGAATAAATTTTTAAAAGTACATAATAAGTTTTGAAAATAATTTTTAAAAAATATTAAATAACTTTTAAAATTTTAAAAACATAATAAAAAAGACTCAACTGAGAAACAAAAAGATGTATGGGATGTACGAGAGTTTGGAGATATTTTTATAATTTAATAAAAAATAAAAATGATATTTATTGTATATATATTTATAAAAAAATTATGATGTATTTACAATTAAAAAAAAAAGATTGCTGCAGGTTTTAAATTACGAAAATGAATTGACGTAACTTCATAAAATTTGGAGCATTATTGGCCGAGTGTCCCAGCATTCTTCTAAATTGTATCAATAATTCAATCAAATTCTAAACATATGACATCATTTGTAATTACAGGGAAAATCAATTATCAGAAAAATAAATACAAAATAAAGAGGGAAGAAAAATCCATTTCAAAGTTGGATCATTTTTTCGTTTTGTGTGTAATATTGAGATTTTTTAATGCTTTTTAAATATTGGCTTGGTTTCTTGACTCATTTACATATTAGCTTCTTGACTCTCAACTTTTTTTTTTTAATTTCTAATATTACTATATTTTGAGTTACTTTCATTTAAATTTTTTTTATTATATTAAGAGTTAAAACTTTAATACAATATTATAATTTATTTTTTAATATTTAAAAAAATTGAACTTGCCCTAACGAGTCAAATCATCCCAAACCTTGGACAAAAATTTAATTATAAAGGTTTTTTTTTTTATATTAGAAGAATAAAATTTTAATACAAGTAAAAGAAAAGAGAAAATTTGATTCAAGATTAAATTTTTAATTTTTTAAAATATTTTTAATCATTAAATTAAAAGTTTGAGATAAATTTTTATTTTTTTATTAAATAAATAAATAAAATTTTATTGACAGCGTGAAATATTTAATTTTAATGAATAAAATTTAATTTTTGATAATTTTATATAAAAAATAAATAAAATTTACGTCTGCTCATATATATTATATATATGTTAACGATGTTGACGAATTATCGACGAAGACGAACTTATGTACATTGATTGTTATTATTATTTTTCGTAATATTATTTGATCGGAATTTTTCAAGAATTTTAAATGATAGTGACCGAAGTAACTTAATTAATGCATATAATACATATTTTTCGCCAAGTTGTACATTTTATATTATTTTTGACAAAATAATTATTATTTTACCGCCCACGCATTTAGCTTGACAGAGTTATAGCACCGATTAAACTTTCATGATAAGTCTAAAAAATTCAAGGGCCATTTGGATATGGTTACATCTTTATTGGGGTGCGGTTGCAATTTTTAACCGCATTAAAATTATGTTTGGCACAACAATACAGTGCAATGAAGTGGTTTTCAATGGCACTGGAACTTTGTGTTCCTAGTACCCCTACAGTTTCGACTGAATATTTTTGCCCACTGCAGTGCTCCTTTCCAATATTTTCTCAATTTTTTTTTATTTTTTTATCCTTAGAATTATAATAATAGATAAATATATCTTTACACATATATTTTTACATAACATAATATATTATTATTAATTTTTAACAAATTTATGATTTGATAAAAAATAATTTTATTAATTTTTAATTATTTATTAAATTTATAAATATTAAATATATTATAAAATTTATTAATACAATTTTAGTTTAATATTTTTAATAATAATTTTTATTTGTTTTAAATACATATTTTATCATTCATTTTAATTTTATTTTTATAATAATCAATTTCGTTACTGTAATAATTAATTTTATTTTTAATATTGTTTTTAACCTTATCAAATTCCATCTCATAGTAGCTTGTAACGAATCTTTAGACTTGACTTAAACACCTAATTGCATAGACCTTTAGAGTTGACTTGACTTAAACACCTTGTCTGAAAGCAGCTGTCTAATTTTTTTTTTTAAATTTTAAAGTCATATTTTAATAACAAGTTGTTGAAAGTATGACATGACCTTTTTTTTTCCCTCAATTATCAAAAACAACTACTGTATTTTTTCTCTCCTCAAGGACCTCTTGCCTTTTGGGTACTTACAATTCAAACTTCATCGGTTCTTCTTTCCATGAGGGAAGAAAGAGATTTGTTACTGGGCATCTTAGTCTTCTTCCTTTTTCTACTCTAATCAAGTGTTTCGATTCCACTTTGTTGTTTCTTTCATTCATTTTCCTTTCTTGGTTGCATATTTCTCATCTTTAAGGCGACAATTCTGAATTTATATATAGAAAATCAGAAGGCAGTCAGGAAGGTACATCTTCTTTTTCTTCTTCTGAGTCCAATTTTTTACTAGTTTTTTTCTCAGATCCAATAGCTTTTGTATATTTAGTGGATTTTGTGGTCTCTCTGATTAATTGTGTCTGTTTACTTATGGAAATGCAGAACAAAATTGGATAATCAATCTCTTGGAACTTTCTCTTTTGTCCTTTTTTATATCTAATAATATCTCAGGTAAGCTTTTCTGATCATACACTGTTAGTTAGACGTAATTGATTACTTAAAGCTTGGTTTAGGTTCTTTAAAAGAATTTATAATTTATGAAACCATATAAGATTCGTAAGTAGAATTTTGCGCAATGAAGTTTATAGCATTTTAATTACGCACGTTCAAAAGATTATACTTGATTTCATGTTTATCTAAACCTTGAAAAAATTTTATTCAATAATTAATTATTAAAAATTATTTTGAAATTATTTTAATATATTAATAATAATTTAAAAATACTTTTTCATTTTATGAGAATTTAAATAAAATATATATCAATTCTATCTTTAAATTCATTAATATTAAAAAAAAAAAGTCATATAAAATCAAATTTTATGGAAATCTTTGATATTAAATTTTTTTAAAATTTTTTAATATGTTAATTTAGAAAGAATTTCTTATCAATAAATTTACATTGTTATTTACAAAACTTTAGTAATTTTATAATTGGGATATCCAAAACTAAATTTTATGATATGAAAACATGATGTTGTAACGAACAAGTTTAAAACTTGATCATTAGATACTGTACACGAAATTTGTCATTAATTATTTTTTATTTAAATACGATTGATTATGTATTATATCTATCTTTCTTAAAGAGGCGTGCACCTTAACTCAGATTCATGAATTTAATTTTTAAACAAATAAATAAAAAAAAAACCAAAATATAAAAAAAAAAAAAACCAAAAACCGTCTCGGCTCCCCTAATGTAATTGCTCGACGGCTCGCAAAATGGCTCCCTCAATAGGCTCAGCTGAAGAAGGAACCCCGGGTTTTCAAGTCTTCTACACGGGTTCCTGGTTGGGGTAACAAAAAAAGGTGCGGATCTTGGGTTATTCAAAACACCACGTTTCAGCTTTATATAAAACTTCAAAAAAATTTATTTGCATTCTCACTTTTCCCTTCACCACTCTATCTGACCGGATTTTCTCTCACCCTTTCTCTAACCAAGATGAATCCCGGCCCGGATTGTCAAGCTTTCCCAGATTCCGGGACCGCTCTTCTTTGGCAGCCGTCGTCAATCGCCGATCACCGCCGGCCACCAGTGCTAAACTTGTACCAAAATTTACCAAAATTCTCATCGCGATCCCCTCTTTCCAATTTCCTGGCTAGATTTCCCTGAAAACACCTAAAACTCTTTGTACCCTTCCTCATGGTGGACTCCGATCTCCAAAACTCTATCAACCGACGTCTGCTACCGCTATAATCGCCATTGGTGGTGACTCAATAGCCTTCGAAAATCCTTAAACCCACCACCTAAACTATTTCTCTTTCCCTCCCTACCTAAAAACAAGAGTCTCGAAATCAGCCTACTCAACCCCAAAATACCTCATTCCCAAAAGGCTTTGGATTGTGATTTATGTTTGTGTTGCTTTGTGTTATTGTTGTTGATTGAGGGCTGTTGATTTTTTATGGTTCTCTTTGAAAAAGAATATAGTTTGGGTCTTTGATTTTGGATTTTTTCTATTGTTTTCATTGAATTTTCTGGAAGTGTTCCTTTTTGATGGTTGCTGTTTGTTTATAATCCCTTAGTCCAATCCTTCACAGAAATCTTAAATCAACATACTCATAAGGATTTCGGTTTGAATAAATTCAATCCCCAAAACAATTTTATCTCCAATCATCATCCATTTCTGCTTTATTTTTTTTAATTTTTGGTTCTTTTTTTATTTTTCAAAAATAAATTATAAACTAAATTAATTAATTAATTAAAAAATCAAATATTTGATAGAGACTTAAGACCCAAACTAGTCCCAAATCAAATCAAAGCCTAAATTGCAAATTCAAATTTAAATAAACTAATCTAAAACTCATATACCGTAAGATTTTTTATGCAAAAATATCTTTTAATAATTTTATTTTGAAAACATTATTTTTAAATTTATCAAAACTTTACTACATGGATTTATTTTTATTTCTCAAAAATTATTAAAATCACAAAATTTTCCATTATATTAATAATGTTTTATAGTTTATTTTTTAAAAATTATTAAACGTTTTAATGTGTTGATAAGATTTTATTTTAATATTTTAAAAATTAACTCTCCAATATTTTGATGAAGTTTTTAACAATTTTTATTTAAAAATTTTAAAACAATAAATATATAAGATGTATAAAAATACAAAAAAAAAAAAGAATCTTACCAGTTCGGCTTAGTAAGTGGTGTGGCTCGGTGGCTCAAGACTGATTCGGCTGATGGCTCAGCCCAGCTTGAACTGCTGGATGCTGAAGCGAGTCGCGAGTTGCAAGCGCTCTAGTCGGATTGGGCTAACGGAAGCACATGGATTCTCTTTTAATAAAAGAGTGCGTTTTGGCTTCTATAAAAGCCAAAGTTTTTTCCTTACAATTTATTTCTCCCTTCTCTCTCTAAGCTAATTTTTCTCTAACCTCAATCTTCCCAAACCCAGAAACGATGAACTCTGGCACTAGATTTTGAAAAATCTCATTGAAAACTTTAAAATGTCGTTGCAATTTCGACGAAAGTACCAAAGACTTACTGAAAAACTCAATGGAATTTGGAGAATTTCTAGATATTTAAAAAAAAAATTTCAGCAAATCCTCCCTTCGACAGATTTGATCTCACAAACACTATTATCTACAACTTTTCCTCAAAATCACACTTAAAAACCTTTCAAACCCGGAAAAAACAAACTAAAAATACTCCAAATCAGTCCCCTCTTCTGGCCAAACTCTCACCTATCTTTTTTTTCTATTTTCACTCTCTTTTTTGTGTGAATTCTCTCTGTGCAATTGCTTTCCCCCTTAATTGTTGCAACAATTTAGGTATTTATAGTAGTTGAATCCCGACTTAGATAGATATCCAAAACAAAAAAGAGATTGAGCTTCTCAAAATTCATCTATCTTAATCTCTAAATTTTATCTGAAAAAAATTATCATCAAAGATGTCTATCTATTTTTGGATTTTACCTAAACATAATCAAAAACCCTAATTCCCTGTTGCACCATCTTTATCATTTTGAGATTTTTTTAGAAATAGTAAAAGATAAATACAAAAGTAAAATATCCGAAAGATAAAATAATAATAAAACAAAACAATAAATAAAAAAATAAAAGAAACTAAAATAAAAATTAAATTCGTTAAAGGAAAGAAAATAAAATAAAATAAGAATAAGAATAAAAATAAAAATTGGCCTAATTTAGACAAGACTCAATAAGTTCAGACCTAAACCGATTATGGCCCAACGTCAAATGGGCCCTCATCAAAACCCAATTGCAACTCAAATGGGCCCTCTTGAGAAACCAATTTCAAGCCCACTGAATTAAAATGATGGGCTGTTTACATTAATTTCAGACTTAGATAGAGAGAACATATATATGTTCAGGCCCAAAGCATTTGTGGCCTAATGCCAAATGCAACCTGGCAACTCAAATTAAATGGTCCCTCTTCAACCCAATTGCAAATCAAATGGGCCTTTTTTAAAACCCAATTACAAGTCCATTGAATTAAAATGAATTATAAAACCCAATTGCAAACCGAATTTGAAACTATAAAAAATTTCGAATAAATGAGGAATGAGGTGTTTACAGTAATTTCAAACTCAGAAAGAGAGAACATATGTATGAAAAAGTAGCCGGCAGCTTGGGCTTCGTTGTTGTAATTCAATAACTTTTTAAGGTCAAAAGTTAAATTATAAATAAGATTTGGAAATTAGTAATGAATAACAATTGTTGTTGTATCAAAAATTGGTTAAGAAATTTGTTAATTTAAGCATTGACTTCTAAGATATAGAGTAGTGCTATTTGACCCTACAAGTTTCTCTCTTACTTGTCCCTCGTGATATGGTAAAATTTATTTAATGATGAGATCGACCAATTTATGGTAGGCAAAATTATTCATAAATACGCTGTTTAAATTTAAACCAATGAAAATTTGTTACATCAAGAGAGATAAATAGTAGGGGCAGTAAGTTCAAGAAACATTTTCCGTATATATAATCATACACTAATAATGGATCCAATATAAAAAGAATAAATGTGACTAATGCTTGTAGTTAATGCCATTATATTGCAGGAGATTTGCTCAATTATGGAGCTTGTAGGGCCAATTATTGATGTGCTGAAGTGCTTAGGAGATCCAACGTGCAGATACATAGACCATCATAGAAAACTTGAAGAAAGGATGAATGATCTTCGAGCAGGAGAAGGCGATCTAAATATTCGGAGGAGAGATATAGAATTGACAATAAAAGCAGAGCTTCGATGGGGAAAAATTGTAAAAGGAGAAGTGAAGAAGTGGCTTCTAGATGTGCAAGAGATCAATGAGAAAATACAGGCCATGTATCAAAGAGCGCAAAATGTGTCTTGTTTTTCACGTGCATGTCTAGGAAAACGTGTTGCTGAAATAATTGAACTAGTGCAGAAAACTTTTGAACGAGGTAAATTCACTGGAGCTCTAGTAATTGATAATCTATCCACTGCTGGAGTGGCTGCTGAATTGGAATATTTAGAAGGTGAGACCATTGTGAAGGAAGAAATTTGGAACTACTTGATGGGTAATGAAATTGGAATGATTGGAGTTTGCGGAATGGGTGGAATGGGGAAAACTACTGTCATGAAGCACATATACAATCAGCTTTTGAAGGAAACTAAAGCTCCGTTTGCCAATGTGATTTGGGTCACTGTTTCGAAGGAACTCAACACCACCAAAGTGCAGCAGGTCATTGCAAATGCTCTGAATATTGCATCTCTTCCGGAACCTGAACAAGAACGAGAACGTGTAGCAGTATTAATGGAAGAATTGGGAAAAGGAAGATATGTATTGATTTTAGATGATGTTTGGAAAAAGTTCCCTCTCTCGGAGTTAGGGATCCCTAAACCAACATCGGGCAATGGGAGTAAATTGGTATTAACTAGTAGATCTATTGAAGTTTGTAGGTCTATGGACTGTGAGATAGTCAAAGTGCAACCACTTTCAAACGAGGAGTCCATGAATTTATTCTTAGAGCATGTTGGACGTGGGGTTTTAGAAGTTCCCTCTTTAAAAGAAATTTTAGGTCCTATTGTTCGGGAGTGTGATGGGTTACCCCTTGCCATTGTTGTACTAGCTGGGAGTATGAAGGGAATATATGATGTACATGAATGGAGCAATGCATTAAGAGAGTTACGTGAACATGTAAGAACTGTGAAGGGCACAGATGAGGAAATATATGAACGATTAAAATTCAGTTATGATCGTTTGGTAGATTCAAAAATTCAAAACTGTTTTCTGTATTGCTCATTATATCCAGAAGACTATAAAATTTCAAGGATGGAATTAATAGAACACTGGATAGATGAGGGATTTCTTGAAATTGGGAGTCGAAAAGTTCTCTATAATCTGGGTCATACTATATTAAATAGGCTTGAAAACAATTGTTTGTTGGAAAAGGTTGACGATAGAAAAGTGAAGATGCACGATGTACTGAGAGATATGGCGTTGTATATCAAAGATCGTAGTCGTTTTATGGTAAAAGCTGGCATGGGATTGAGAGAATTACCAAGCAAGCAAGAATGGGCAGAGGATCTTGAAAAAGTTTCATTGATGAGGAACGACATATCAGAATTTCCTCCGGACTTGTCACCCAATTGTAAGATTCTTTCAACCTTATTTTTGCAAAACAATGAGAACTTACAGTGGATTCCAGAATTGTTCTTTCAGCATATGCATGGACTCTGCATTCTCGATCTTTCTTTTACCTGTATTGAGCAACTGCCCGATTCTGTGTCGAACTTGGAAAAGCTCAATGCATTGGTTCTTTTTGGATGTCACAAGATGAGATACGTGCCTTCGTTAGAAAAGCTTAAGGCTCTGAGAAAGTTGGACCTCTGTTATACAGCTATTGAAAAGGTGCCTGATGGTTTGGAAATGTTGGCAAATCTAACATATCTTAATTTATATACAGAATGCTTAAAGGAGCTTCCAATTGCAATTCTACCTAAGCTTTCTTGTCTGCAGTATTTGGTATTCTACGCTGAATCAAGTACTTTAAAAATTAATGGATCGGAAGCTGCCAGATTAACAAAACTGGAGATGTTTGAAGGGAGATTTAATGAGTTGATGGACTTCAATACGTACAGCCAGTCTATACAAGGTCAAAGGCTTACTTCTTACTTGCTTGTCATGGCACCATTTGAAGCCAAGTTTGACGTCATGCCACTTGAAGTGGAACGCTCATTTCTTATTTACAGACTCGTAAGCGGCGAGGAACTCGATGACAAAAAATCAGCAAAAATACTACAAATCGTGGCGGGAATGGAAGGTACTGATAAAGTAAAATCTTTAAAATTTTACTAGATTAATTCCCTAATTATAATTAAGTGTTGATATCCACATTCCTTTTCATCGTGGAATTTTCCGTTAAATAATTTTATAATGAGTAAATTACACATATGATATTAGAACTATACCAAAACGATAATTTGGTACTCAACTAAAAAATTTTGCAATTAGCCCCTTGAACTTTCAAAATATATATCAATTTAGTGAATCCAACCACATTATGTCACATCAAAATTGGTTTTCAACATTTCGTAATCGCTTTTTAAGACAAATAAAACGTGAAGAAAGCTTATAGAAATTTAAAATCAGTTTTAGTATATGAACGAATCCCAACTATTAGTTTAATTCGTTTCCTAATATTTCCAATAAAACTCGGTTGCAACCAAATACACCCACATGGTTGCCAACAATTAACCTACTAGCATTCTCATTAAAATTAGTTTAATCTTTTGCTTTGATTTTATTTCTTGTTCATCTTGGGTTTTCTTGTGATTATATGTTTGATAAAATACTGAAAAAAACACTGTATTTGATGATATTTCATGCCTTGAGTTTGATGGTTCTAAAAAGAATAGAAATATAATAATATTTAAAAAACAATAAAAGTTCACGTACCTTTGCAGGCCTTTGGTTTTTTTTATTATAGGATAATTATTAATCTTTGCTTTTTTTATTATAGGATAATTATTAATTTTTTTATACACTAACTAAGATTAAAATGCTTTTCATGAAGATTGATTTGATGCTGACAAGTACATAACATTTATCACTTGTTTTTCAAAAATTATGATGTGATATTAATTCAAAGGATGCCTAAAAACGCACTTTAAGATAATTTTAATATAGTTTAAACTCGAGATAAAAATAAATAGATAAAATATAAATATATATATATAAATATATATATGAGAGAAACACAATAGATAACACTAAATTTTTAAGCACAAAATTGTTAAATTTAAAATTTAATTATTTACAATTTTGAACTTTGTACTTTTTCAAATATCGAAGTGCTACACTACTGACAGTGATGATTAGTTGTATCTTGTACACTGGATTAATTGTCATATTAGAATTTGAGTTTGATCATTTGAGCATAAATTTAACTTTATGTTATTATTGATTGGTGAAGGTACGAAATCTGTGTCCTTAAACAGGGGTATTAGAGAACTGAGAGTCGATGGTGAGGTGGAACCTGCCAAAATTGTAAAGAAATTGGCAAAGATAGGTGTCGAGATCAGGGCTGTCCAGCCGATGCTTCCATATCATCTGTCCAAGAAAGATGTGATTTTAAGTGGGCGCCAGATAGGAAGAGGAGATCCTGTAGCACTCCCAAGTGACCTTAGGTGTCTAAGAATTTTTGAGTGCCACAATGTGAGAAGCTTAAGCGACATTTCCTTCTTCCAACAAACAAATGAGTTGAGGTTCTGTTCAATTCATGATTGTAGAGGGATAGAATCTGTGCTTGACTTATCATCATCGCCCTCACCATGCACCCCATTTCAGAACCTTGAGCTCTTGTGGCTTGAAAATTTGGATAACCTGCATATGCTTGTTAAAGTAGGAGAAGCATGTGTTGTTCCTATATGGAGTTCTCTGCCTCGGCCAGGCATCTTTTCCCATCTTAAATCATTTCAGATTGAAGGATGCTCAAACATGAAGCATCTCTTTCCATTTGAGTTAGTACATGATCTCCAAAACATGGAGAAGCTGGTAGTTGGTAATTGTCGACAAATGGAGGAAATAATAGCATCAGAAGAAGAGGAAGAAAATCACAAGGGAAAAGGAACGTATTCCGCCACAACGTTCACTTTTCCCAAATTAAGAAAGTTCGAATTGAAGAAATTACCCAAGCTAAAGAGCATCTGTAGTTCAAATAGGAAAATGACATGCGACTCTCTTCAGGATATTGAAGTACGGAAATGTCCGAATCTAAAAAAGATGCCTCTATATCTTCCTCTTTTCCAAGACACTGACCAACAATCTTCTCATCCTTTCAAGAGCATTCGCGTATATCCAAATGAATGGTGGAAATCAGTAGAATGGGACTATCCGAGTGCCAAAAATGTTCTGCAACCTTGGTTGGTACTGGGATGAAGCAAAGAGCTGCTGGAAGCCATTCAAATCAAATTCCTCAAGCTAAAACAGTGAGTTTTCATTTGTTTCTGTTCTGGAAAATTTTGAAGATTTTTTATCAACCAAAAAGGCTAATAAGATAGGAAGAATAGAAACTAAAGCAGTCGGCAAATAAAGTTTACCAATGTTAAAAATAAATGTAGATCAATTTGCTAGAACCTTCAAATCAAGAGTCAAGACCCTAACTTTACTAGAAATAGAGTTTTTCTTGTTTATTTGCAAAGTTTAAGAGGGCTTCCTAGACATCTCTGTTGTCATCTGTAGGCTATTCGGTTGAGGATAGTTCATTGGTTTCAATTCCCAAAATATGTCATTTTGTTTCAATATTGTTTTATCCCAATGTTAGGATTGCCCCACTACCCTTAAATTCTTATTACTCTGATGAGCTTAGCCATTAGAATGAATGGAAGCAAGCTGTTTAATTTGATGCTATGCCCCTTTTTCTTCTTTGAAACTGCAAGGTTTACATATTTTCTCCAATCCTTGTTGCGGTCTTACAATTCTTTTATTAGTTTGTTCTGTTAATGTTATTCTTGTATGCTTAGAACAATATTGAATTTTCCTTTTGTGGATTCTTATATATGGGTAGGTTGTTGCCATTCTGAAGCTAGCAAAGCAGCTGACAATTTAATCTTGGAGAAACTCATCACTGAGGGTTCATTAATTCTTCTGTTGTGCTTTTATCTGCGATGTAATACTTCATCAGATGAATCGTTCTTTTGTTGGTTTTAACTGTCATAAACATCAATTTGGTTTTGATCTGGTTGGACTGTTGATGTTGCGATTTTTTTTTTTAGTTAGCGGTTTGGGGGTTTTTGAGTTTTTTGACGTTGTGATTTAACTTTGAACTTAAGTATCTTAATTTTAGTTGGGTGATTTGGCTATTTGAATGTATTTCAGGATCTTATAAATTAAAGTTATTCTAAGTTGTTGATTTGTAGTTAAATTAAAGTTATTCTAAGTTGTTGATTTGTAGTTTGATAGTAGGAGTTTTGTGGTTGATTTGTCGTTGACATGTAGCACTGATTCTACTGAATTTATTTGGCACATGCTGTTTTGATTGTCATTTCTTCGACGGTCAACCTGTAGCTATTTCATGCAAACTTTTTTCAGGGAACTGTGCCACTGGTCTGAAGTCCTGTCAAATCTCTGATTGTGAGGATATGGAATGAGCATTTCAGTCATCCTCAAGTCCACCACCTTAAATCTTGGAGTTGCAATTACTCACAGATTTGGATAATGTACTTGTTTTCTACAGGGAGCAGCCACATTTCTTGCTGATAGCACATTTTTCAAAAGATAATCATATTTGTAAAATTAAAGTATTAAATACAATGTAAAATAAAATAAAATAAAATAATAAAATATACATTTGAATGAAATAAAATATTTTAAATTTGTATCCCATTTGATTTGATTTGATTTTTTAAAAAATTTTTTGATTCAATCTCTTTTTTTTTTTACATTACATCTATTAAATTCAAATAAATTGAATTTCATAAAATATGCGTGTTTTGACATTTTTCTTTAAAAATTGTTTTACCAATTTCTTTCATTGAGAAATCTCTCATTAAAAATATTAAAAACAAAAAAAGTTAAAAGGCAAAAAAAATAGAAATCATGTAAACACATTCGTTATCTTTTATAACAAAGATCTAATTTAAAAAAAAAACCTTAAAAAAGAAAAAAAATAAAAAGCAAAAAAAAAGAAGGAAGAAGCTTGAATTTGCATGCGACATCAACGATGACGAGTCTTTATCAAAAAAGTTATATTATGAATTGAAAAATAAAATTGAAAAAGAAAGGATTGAAAAATTTTTTTAAATCAAATTCGAATATGATACGAACATATCCACTAATATAATTGTTTTAAAAAATATCAAATTAATAAAATAAAAAAAGATAAAAATAAATTTTAAAAATAATATCAAATGACCCATATTAAAAAGTTAAAATATAAAAAACATTTGTTAAATATTAAAAAAAAAAAGTTAACAAAGAAATGAAACAATAAAGAAAATCAAATAGCTTAGCGTGTGTATGTCATTGATGTAAAACCGATTTTACAAAAGAATATAAATCTAAAAATGATTTATCAATTATGAAAAAATAAAAAAAGAAAAACCTAAAAAACAAAAAGAAATACATGGTGTGCCTTGATTAGTAAGTGAGTTTTAAAATAAAATTAAAATGAAAATATTTTATGATTTATCAATTATGTAAAAATAAGAAAAGAAAAACCTTAAAAAAAAAAAAGAAACACATAGTGTGCATTGATTAGTAAGTGAGTTTTAAAATAAAATTAAAATGAAAATATTTTAAATTTGTTTGACAGAAATCAGAAAAGGAAGAAGTACAAAAAGTCATAAAAGGAAAAGGAAAAAATTAGCATAAATGACTCCCATACAAAAAAAAAAGTATAAAACATATTTTTTATTTTTTAAATATATTATTATATTATAACATATACAAACATTGAATAAACTTTCCCTCATAAATGTCTATGTGAATAATTTTTTTTGAATAACTCGTAGAATAGTTTTTTTTTTAAAATAAGATAACTTTTTTTTAATTATAAATTAGATAATCTTAAATTTATTTAAATATAAAAATTATTTAAATTATAATTGATAATTTAATCAATCTAGAGATATTCTTTTTAAATTAAAAATCTAAACTATGAATTTTATCTTCATAATAAATAATTTTAGTTATTTATCAAATAACTTTATTTAAGAAATGATTTAATTATCAAAATCTTTCAACATGTTTAAAAATTATAAAATTAAATTTATCTAAATCTTTCAACAATTTCTTTTTATCTTAATTTAAATCAACAAAAAATTATTCTTTCAAAACTTTACATTAGATATTGAAAATTCAAACAACTTTTCATATTAAATCTTTAAATAATAATACTATAAAAAGGATCATATCCATCTCAACTCTAATTATCAAATTTATTTTTTCAAATATATGCAAAAAATTTGATTTTATCTTTATCACTTATCATATCCTTTTAAATTTTAAAAAATTAATTTAAAAATCATCTATTCAATCCTAATTGTTAGTCAAGAATTTTTTTATAAATTTAAGATTATAAATGTAATATATTATATAAGTTTGTAATTTTTTTTCAAGGTATATTCTATTACTATTATAATTTATTTTTTGTGTTTACAACATTTTTCTAAGATATATTTTGTTACTATTGTAATTTTATTTTTATAAAAAATAATATTTTTTCAATTTATTTTTCTTTTTTCACATATCTCTTAATATTTTTAATAATTTATTTAATAATTTGATCAAAATTATGAAAATGAAAATATGTTATTTTTTTATTATTTAATTCATTCGACAAATATATACGTGCTTATTTAAAAAAAAAAAAAACAGAATGATATAATCTTACATAAATTATTGTACATTATTTCATATTTGGTTTCTATTCCTTTACTGTAGTTTGCTTTCCCTTGACCGATATTTATCCAAAAGGAAGAGCTTTGGCTAGTCGCCATCTTACTATTCTTCCTTTTTTTAAGCATAATCAATTGGTTCAAATCCACTTCGTTGTTTCTATCATTCATTTTCTTTTCTTGATAGCAGATCTCTCATCTTTTAGGCAAAAATTCCGAATTTATTTATAGAAAAACCAGAAGGCAGTCAGGCAAGCTACATCATCTTCTTCTTCTGATTCTAATTTTTTACTAATTTTTTCCCAGATTCAATCTATTTTCTATTTTAGTGGGTTTTGTGGTCTCTCTAATCCAATCTCTTTTCTATCTTAGTGGGTTTTATGATCTTTCTGATTAATTGTGTCTGTTTACTCCTGGAAATGCAGAACAGATTCGGATAATCACTTTCTTGGAACTTTCTCTTTTGCGCTGTTTTATATACAGTAGTATCTGAGGTAAGCTTTTCTTTCCTTTAAAAGATCAAACAGTGTCGGTGTGTGTTTGAGAATACTGACTTCATCTTTGTTGTCACATAGCTGCTATGGGTTTAGGGGGAATTTTCGAATTAGGACATTGGAGAGAATCGCGTTTGCTACCATTACAGTGTATATATTTAATCTTTGATAACTAATAAGTAAGAAAATCTCAATTATCATTTTAATCTGAAATCATTTAACAAATTTCCCACTTAGAAAGAGGGGAGAACATATGTATGAAGAAGTTGCCAGCAGCAGCTTGGGCTATCGCTTTTGTAGTACACTAAATTTTTCAGGTCAAAAGTTAAATCATAAATAAGATTTAAATTAGAAATGAATAAATGTTGTTATTGTTTCAAAAATTGGTTAGAAATTTATTAATTGAAGCATTAACTTGTCAGACAAAAAAAAAAAAAAAACTCAATCTATTGTAAGTAATTTTTGGTTAATCTTCTATAAATCACTTATTAATTTATAATTTTGTAAACAAAGGTTTACAAATTAATCAATAATATAATAAAAAAAGAAACATACATGCCGTTAATAGATAATGATGAAAAATTACACTAATGGGGACTTTTTAGTTACATTTTGTGCATGGTAAACAAATATTTATATTTTTTTTTTTATTTCTATTAGTAGTGAATCATTGTAGACATCGGTTTTATCCGAATTTATTGATTTCATTTCAATTTAATAATAATAATTTTAATAATAATAATAATAATTAAAAAAAATATAATAATAATAAATCAAGAGAGAAGGAGACAGAAACTAAAGGGTTGGTACGGTATCGTTGTCGCCCTCGACCAGTCCCCTGTCTCGCCCCTGACCAGCCCCCTATTCAACTCACCTACAACCACTCAGATCCTCTTATTTGAAGCTCTTAAAAACATCATAGATTATTCCCCTTTAAAACATTTTTCTAGGACACGAAGAGCTTACCCTTCATCACTGCCCAGCCCCCTTTTCAACAAGCTCAGTTCCTATACTAGCACTCCAATTCGAGCCTCAACCTTCACCAAACCCAACCCCAAACAAAACTCACACCAACCACACAAAAAAAAAAAAAAACAAACAAAAAAACAAAAATAAAAAAAAAAGATAAACACAGTCCTCCCCGCAGGGAGGAACCCAGTGCTAAAGCTACTTACAAAAGTAAAAAATCATGTCAGTCTTGTTTCAACAAAACAAATTAAAAAAAAAAGGGGAAACAGAAACTTTGAGCCCCGATCTACGCTGATTGGGGCTATTTTCCACAAAAAAAAGGTCAGATCTAGGAAGAGTGCATTGAAGAACGCTTTCGAGAGTATTTTGGTATTTTTCGATCACCGACTACCACCGACAGCGACTGTCGACGGTGACTCAAACGGCGGCTGGTGCGACGGTCCGGCGACTGGACGGTGAGAGAGCTCTCCCTCTTTTTTTTTTTCTAAAATGAAAAAAGAATGAACAAAAAAAATTTTTTTTTTAGTTATATATAAAAGACTAAGGAGCAAAACGACGTCGTTTTAGGTTAAAGAGGATCCGCGCATTGACTCGAATCTGACCCGGGATCCACGCAACCCGACCTATGGATCCATTCTTCCAACAACTGCTGACCCGTCCAATTGAACCGATTTGAATCGGATCGAACCGTAGACCGCTAACCCGAACCGTTGACTGAACCGCAGAACCAGTCAGACTGCTCCAGACCAACGTTGACCGGACCGTTGACCGGTTTGGTTCAGGTAAAAAAAAAAATTTTTTTTTGAATTTTTTTGAATTTTTTATATTATTATTTTTGTTATTTTGAGTATTTTTTTATTCTTGCGTGATAAATTTTTAAATTTGTTAGAATAAATGTTTAATTGTGTTTAATAATAATAAGAATCAATAAAATAAGATAATAACTAAAAAAATACTAAAAAATGCTAAAAAAAAAGTAATAATCTAAACATAATAAAAAAAATTTTTTTTTCTTCTTTCTTTCTTTCTTTTCCTGCCTAGATGTTAGAGGGAATAAAAAAATATTTTCCTAAAGAAATAATTTTGCTTAGATGTTGAAAAATTATTATTAATAAATTTTCATAAAAAGAAATATATAAGAAATTTTTAATTAGTTTTCAAAAATCATTAAAATCGAACTTATTTCGAAAATCCACCTAGATGTTGAGGATTTTTAGAGATGTTCGTTTTTCTTAAAAATGAAATCTTAAACACTAATTCTTAATTTTCAAAATCCTAGGTTTCTAAAACCCCTAAAATCCAAAATCTTAAAATCTGAAACCCCTAAAAATCTAAAATCCCTTAAATCCAAACCCCATAAAATTTGAAACCCCTAAA